GGATCCCTATTTTTTTCCAAATGAAATGTAGCCTGTCAAATTGGAAGAATGTAGCATTCTATTGGTGAAAGAATTTTTTAAATCGGCCCAGTACTTTTTGAGTCTATTCATTACAAACATACAAAAATAGGTACAAATTTTTCCTCTTTATAATATTAGTATAGTATAGACTGTATAGATATAGATATAGACTAGCGTCCCGTCCCGGCTTCGCACAGGTGCAATATGAATGTATTATACATATAACCTTTCCTTAAGAATCATCATCTTTTTTTAAACTTGATAGGTTGACGTGTGGCCACCATCTTGTCTGGTGGTAAGCGATGATGTGGCCGATGATGGAGCCGCCTACCTATGTTCACTTGGGACTTGAAGAAAATCTATTACAAAAAACCGCATCAAAAGACATTGCGTAGTTTTAAAGATCTAAGCATACACAGGGACCCCGAGCTTACGGAGTGTCGCGTTCCGCTCGCGCCTCAAAGAGCCATCAGACCTCCACGGATGGGTCCCAATAGGGCTGATGCCGATTCGGAGCCGAGGAGGAGAACCTAACGGTTACCGGGGCTCCGGCTCGAAGTGCAGGAGTAGGAACAGGGTGGTTTTTAGTCAGTAAGAGTCTGACGCTGCCCCCGCCTCACCCGGGCGGGAAAAGTCATTCGATGATTTTCTCCCCTTAAAAAAGTCATACATAGGGACAGACAGACGGCAAATAGCGACTTTATTTTATACTATGTAGTGATTGTTTTATAATTAATTGTTGCTACTCGTGTACTGGCCTCACACTTTAATGTATGTCCTTGAACTTCCTACACGTGTGGCCAATACAGAAAATGCAGGTTTTTTTTATTGGTAACATTTATAATGTAATTGAATCATATACTGCGCTCGTTAGTGTAAATTATGACTCAAAATAGGAGTTGTAAAAGTTTGTACACAAAAAAAGAGAATAACTTATTTTCGAATGAAAAAAATGATTATCTACAACTAGCTGTCGCCTGCGACTTCGTCCGCGTGGAATATGAGTTTTAGAACGTAACTTTAATTTTGGAAAATTGGAAAAATATCAAATTTTTGTTTCAATTTGGAAGATATAAGTTTCCAAAATAAAAGTAGACTATATTACTACTTAGTACACCAAAAATTGTAAAACATGTTACTTTGGTATGTGTATCATATTCATGCATATGAATGCATGTAGTAAAAAGCGGTTATTTTAATATTACAAACAGACACTCCAATTATGTTTCTCTGTATAGAGTCTTTAGATTGTTTTTTATTTTAATTTTTTTTTAAAAACGTCCCAAACTCTGATTTTCTCCTGTGTCGTGGGTGCGTTTACAAACATACAAGTTCACATACACATGGCACGTTTGTGTAACATCGATCTTTCCCTTTGTATATGGACAACTAATTTCAGTTGTTTGATGTGTTTTTCAAATCATTTTAACCGACCTACTTATTTTCAGGCAGATTTGTAACTTATGTATACGATGTCAAGTGTAGGAGAGTCATGCTTCGTCACGAATGGGCCGGCTCGACCGGAGTGCTACCACGGCCTCATAGAAAACCGACGTGAAGCTACGCTTGCATTGTGTTTCGTCGTGTGAGTGACGATACCGGAGGCCCCATTACCCGGGCCCCCGTTTCCCCAATCCCCGAATCCCCGACAATCCTCAAAAGGCCGGTGAAGCACTTGTAACGCCATTGGTATTCCTGGTGTCCATAGGCGACGCCGATAGCTTACCATCAGGTGATCTGTCTGCTCGTTTACTGGCTTATACCATAAAAAAGGATACAAAAAAAATAATAGTAGTTTTTCGTCATTATACTCTTTTATTAAAATTTCCATAACACCAGATTTTTAGAAAAATTACAGTCGCTATAAGATAAAGAGCAAAGCCTCCGAGTGAAGTCACGAGAAAATACTAGTTTGTCAACATGTCACACACATAATTAGTAACAGGATATGTAATTATCATGCACGTGCTTATAAAACTATTTTAGAACGCGGGAAAAAATCTAAATGTACAAAATATGTCTAATTGTGTTTATCGATATTTTCCATCTTATTGATAACATCTGTGATGAACTGTTTTTCGGATACGTCGTATCTATTTGTCACATAATATGCAAAATATTAACTTTGATAAAAAAAAACAAATTGATCTTATTCTGATAGTGGACTAAACTGGTTTTCAAAAAAGATTGAGTACACACGATGTAGTTGAAAAAAATGGCAGCAAAAATGCCCACTGCATGTTTAATGATTTTTTGTCTAATTTGCTTACACTAAGCCTAGGTACCTAGTAATACTACTTAGACTGTATCATAGAGATATCTACTTTTTGTTCATTTATTTTTTTTTTTGAAGAGGAAAAATCGTCTAATGGCTACTCCCGCCTTGAGTGAGGCGAGAGGAAGTGTCAGACTGTTACTGACTAAAAAAACATGCTATTCCTACTCCTGCTTTTGCGCAGCTCCAAATAGGTACCTTTCTTTGATAGTGATAATTTTCATTGTCAGTTGTAAATATTTTCCTATTTTCTTCCGGAAAAAATATGCGAAGTTTGTGGCAACTAAGAAGTCTTAGTTCACCTCAAAAAAAAAAAATTAACTGTTAATAATTCTTCCCTTTCTATACGCTATCTCCGCTGTACGCAACACACGATAATAGTTAAAAAGAATTATAATCGCGTTGGATAAAAAATAATGTTAAACCACGTTAATTTTAAACTAGTGATCACGGATTTTAATACGAGTATTGTGAGGATTATTTTTTTTATTTTTTTTAACTAGTAAGTAATACGTTTTTTAAAAAGTTACTTGCACAATTTTTTTAATAGTATAACATAGATTAAGCGGTGCATAAAATTTAAGGTCAATTCTTAAAAAACCACATTGTTATATAATTTTAATAGGGAAAACGTCCTTAATAAAAAGTGAAACGAAGAATACGTGCTATGTTAATCTGAATTGATAAAAATAGCAACAGATTGTATTGGTATGACCATGGCAATTTTAATTTTAAAAATAGTTTTTTTGATAATTTTCCTGGTAGCCAATCTTCGTCATTTCTAAAACAACATGCTTGTTTGATAAAATGTACAAAAACGTGACGAAAAGTAAATATGCGATGATTGTAGTCGCCGAGGTTATTTCTATCAACCCTGTGGAAGAAATTCGTGGATTTACGTACATACCTTTAAGCAAACGTCCAAAAAATACTTGGTTAAAAAATAATTATTAAAAAAAAATCATTTATTTCGGACATCTAAGAGATCCATAAAATTAATTAATATCGATAGCATACATCATTAATATCATACCATCGCAGTCATACAAAATTTAGTCAAATATCATAATTAACTACTTACATTAAAATTATTATTTATATAATTTTTTTAAGGTGTACATATTTTAGTTTTTAGTTATTTGTATTTTAAGTTATATTTAAGTTTATATTCAATTGAGTTTCCAATAAAAATTATTTGTTTGTTCGTTAATTGCACGTTCCGGGATCCTAACCTAACATTGTAACCTTAGCTTCGTTAGTTATTTTATTTTATATACCCGGAAACTGAGCACGGGAACCCACGCACACCCATAACCCTTGCCACCGCCGAGGCATTCTAGTTCACTTAATTTGATAATGGAAACCGGAATTACAACCAAAAAGGCACGATACCTATCCCCAGAAGAGCATATAGCTTACCTAAACAATCTGGAAGTTTAAATAATTATATGTTTCTTTTATAGTCTGGTGTTTCATGATTATATATAGGTCAAAGGCTGGCCAAATGTAAGTCTAAATAAAAAAGAAATGTGGATAACACATGGACATGACATGTTAAAAACGAATAAATGTTTTTATGTTTTCTTTTTACTTTATTCGCTGTTTTAGTTTCAGTTAATTTTAAGTTATATATATTTATTCTTAATTTTTTTTTTCAAAAAATGTCCCCACATTGACCCCCATTTCGTTGGTGCATCTACAAACACACAATTTCACATGCACAATTGCAATAGTGCAACCAATAACACAGACAAACTTCTAAACTGCATGCTAAATGCTATTGGTGTACCTTTTAGAAAATTTTCCTAAAAATGAGTACAGTCACAACACAGTGAAAACAGTCCAATAAGCCCCAGTAGTCATAGTAGGCCTAAAACCGATCACGGATCAAGAGATTACAAGTTCTATTGACACGTAAATATTTTTTGTTATCATTTCGGAGCCACGTGCCAGCAGCATTTTAGTTTTTTATAAAACTATGCCTACTTACTTGTGGTTTTATACATTAGTTTGTAACATGAGAACACGAGATTTTACAAAGAACTACGTAGGGCCTTGTACTTAACAATACTAAAATATTTATAGGTTTTTTAATTCCATTGTGATCCAGTGTTGTGTTGAATCTTAGATTTATCGAACATAAAGAATCGGGTATTTACCAACCAACTAGTCAAGTTCAATACTTTTTTCGAACTGTCAAAACCGATAGCTTTCTATGAATTTTGTACGAGATTCTGTATTGTGACGTCACGTTTTTTTAGCGTCATACAATGACTTATTTTTTTTAAATCTGGAACAATACTAAAATTAAGTTGGGCATCAAATCAGTTATGTAATGAAAGTGTGATTATATTTTAATATTGTATTGTATTGTATTGAACAGTCGAAATAATTTATTTTTGATTAAGGAAAGTACCCAATTGTCATCTATTAGGACTCACCTTTTCTTCCTATAACTTCAAGAAATAAAACGTAAAATGATTATGATGTCAGCATGATTCAATGAATAACGACATCATCATTGCACAAAGTTACCACAAGTAAACGCATTAATTAAAAGGCACATCATCCATGGAATACCTCAGATCTTCGCCTTATCTTGTCGGCGCATTAAACTTTTGTTTCCAATAAAATACTTTTATCCTGCTCTAAAAACTTCTCTCTCCCTCTAACCTAAGACGTAATGTCAAACCATGAGCGCGGCATTCGTGGACTGACGCGCCATGTTCCGGCGCCAAAACTTCGTAGCAATCGGTAAAATGAACGCGCCGACAATACTGTCCACTACGCTCCAGTTCCGAATTTAAATTACGTTTTTTTAATAGTGATTAGTTTTTTTTTGTAATAGCTATGAGTGGGAATCCTAAGACCGATGGAGACAGATTAAGTTTCATTCCAGAACCGAACGTCGCGGAAACCTATGTAAGAAAATTGTGCTCACATTTCATTGAAATAGTTTAACTTTTTTTCTTCAAATCGGTAGAAAGTGACCAAGTGTTTTCCGGTGCGAATTCCTGTGATTAATTTAAATAAACTTTTGGTTATTCATACATTATGCAATTTGTCAAGTTAATCGTATTCTTATCGCGGTTGTTTAAATATTTATCGTGTGATTAAACTTCTAAAAAAGTAAATTTAGAATATTTTTTGTGAGTGGTCTGTTTGGTTTTAGAACATAAACAGGTATTGTTTTAAGACATTTTTTATTTTTAAAAATGTTTCCGGCCTAAAGGAATAAGGAAAAAAAGATATAAAATATAAATCTTTTACAAAAAAAAAAAACTTAACGTATACAGAAAAAACTGCTTGTATTTAGTTTACGGTGTGTTAAACATTAACATTCTTTGCGTCTTAGGTACCTACTTACCTACGACAATTTGGTCAAGGTTGTGATGATTTCTAAAGGTTTAAAGGTTTTGAGTTCATAGTTTGAAACTTAAAATGTAGCAATTTAACATAGTAGGTACATATTCAGATGTACCATAGTTATCTGCCTTATCTATTGGTCTAGTGTAGTTGTGTAAAAAATAAGGACTTTACACGATGGTTTTTATTACGAAAAAAATTCACTTGTTTGCACGATTTTCAAACGAAATGCCTTTTTTTGTAAAGAAATTTGCGTAGTGTAAATGAACCTCGAAAGAACTTTATGAGTATCACTTCTAGAATTTTTATAATCTTCGCACAAAGTTTATTAATTTTTGCACATTATAAGAATGTGTGCATAATCCACAGTGCAACTACATTTTTGAAAAAGGTTATACTTATTTCAGTAAACTTATATTTAACAATAAATATTATTTTTTTCTGACACGTTAATTTTTATACATATTTGTCTGGACTTTAAAAAAGACGGACCTCTGAGTTTATTTCGGCATTTCTTCTCTGAGTAGTCATTTAGGAATTGTCGACCTCATCGTGCGCTTGAAAAATTGATGTGTAAAATTGCATTGTAGCCTATTTGCAGAAATAAATCCACTTGTTTCACTTGTAAACTAATTGCATAGTTTTTTGTGAACTGTAACTAGTGATTTAATTTAATTAATGCTAAATTGCGTAGTACGTTATGGGTACCAGTACTATAAGCAACCGGTATTTGGATACAAGAATACTAGATCGCACACATTATCTAAGATATAGGATAGATCTTCACTATCATAATGGACATTGTCCGAACCACTCGTGACAGAAAAACGATAGAAGTAGTTACTTAACATTAAATATCTGTAAATAGGTACATTAATCTAATTATTCAATTTGTAATTGTGTTACGTGTCGCAATTATTAATGTGTTTTATTTAAAGTAAAGTAAAGTAATAATAATTCCACAATAAATAATTACAATTATAGGCCTTTATTATTAGGTGGGTTCCTTAAAATTATTATTAATAGATAAAATTCAATAAAAAACGATTTTGTGCAATGTAGATAATAACATTAACATTAAGGCAACAAAAAAATAAGAACAACGCATAAAAAAAAAAAACAAAAAAAAAGTTATGTTTTTAAAGTGTTTTTTTTTCTGCGTAGGAAATGATACCACACAATTCAAAGAGTAAAGAATCAAGTTCGAAATATGACCAGTTGTTTCCTGAGATTGAGGAGGTCTTGGGTCCGAGTCCGACCTTCAGGCCTTGTACCCTCGTCTGGAGGGACCTCACAGTTCACACCAAGCTCAAGGATGGAAAATTGAAGAGGCTTGTCAACAATGGTGAGATCTTTTTCTTTCTTTTTCATATTTTTGCGTAGCAAATTGATTTTTTTTTCGGTTTTTCTCTGTGGCATCGTCGTAGCCAAGTGAGAGAATTTCTAGTCAAAAAAATACAACGTACCTAGATCATTAGGGGCCATCCATAAATTACGTCACAACTTAAGGAGGAGGGAGGGGGTCGACGAAGTGTGACATTGTGTGACAAGGGGGAGGGAGGGATCCAAAACTTTGTGATGTCACCTTTCAAAAACTAATAGTTAATCTGTGTTAAAATACGAAACATAAATGTATTAATGTTTTTTATTAAGTTAATTGTTTGATTTGACATTAATATTTTTTTAAAGTAATTTAAGTGAAAAAACAATAGTTTCTATACTGTAATTCTGCAAATTGTGACGTCACACTAGGGGGGGGGGGGCGTCTCACAAATGTGACTAGCTGTGACAAGGACGGGGGGAGGGGTATAAAAATCATGAAATTAGTGTGACGTAATTTATGGATGACCCCTTATCAGCCGATAATGTATTGACGTTGTATTTTTTTGTCTATGAAATATAGTTTAAGGATATCGTTTAAATAAGGAACGATAGCATAAGCTATTTATTATTATTAAATTATTATTTGTTTATGAAATTATAACTTTGCGTATTTAATTTAGGAAGTATTCGTATTTTATGTCGTGGACACGATTTCGAGAAACGAAGCAAAATATTATGTGACGTATATGAATCTAAGTGTGGCTGCACATTACTTAGTCAACTTCAATTGTTTTTCAAATTATCATTAGGTATAAGTTACGACAACGGACAATTTCAGCAATGTGAATGAAAACGAATACCATACAGATCACATATATTATCCACATACATAATTATTATTAAAAAAGTGCTATTTTGTAGACTTAAAAAAAAAAAATTCATTTTCATTTTTATTTTCCTTTATTACCACGCTTGGTACATTTTTTCTAGGTTAACTCTTTACAAATCGATCAAAATCTAAGAAAACTATTGTATAACTATTGTGCAATGATATCCACGTGTAGCGAACGAATCCTGTTTTCCCTTCTAGTATTATTACCAATGATTCGAATATTATATTATATTATTTATGATCCTCATGTCGTACGACTGGTACGTACTGGTCCATGAATGAATTCTCAAGCGCTCGTCATTAAATTGTCAAATTTATTTCGCCTAGGTTATAAAGTTAAAGTTAGTTCTTATTCAATTTTTTGCATAATGTAAGGTAATTTATTCATAAATGAATAATTTCAGTGTAATTAATTTTCGTAGGCGCCATCTAAATTAAATTAATTTATGTTTTAATTAATTGGCTGTTCTGCTAGTTATATGTATAGGCAAGTGTCTATTTGTCATGTTTTCGAAAAAGAAACATGTTTTTTTTTCAGAATACAAGAAAAGTTAACAATTTTTTTTATTACGTTTAAATAAAAATAGGTTTTCGTCTCTTATTTCACGATTAATAAGACTATTGTTTTTATATATATTATTAAGACTATAAAAATACATGGGTACGAACGACCGAAGCTAACGAGCTTCGAGGTTTGAGTTTTTATTGCTTATACAACGGAAAAACCTATAAAATTCGCCATACCTACCAACTTATTCATTAATTTTTCCAGAATAAATTCCAAAAACGTAGTTTTTAGTATGTAAAAATACAGTAACTATTTAATAAAAGACATAATTCAATTAATAGATACTGTATCTTAATGAAAATGTCTACATATTTTTACGTTAGATGAGAAATAATGTCTGTTCTGTTTTTAAGCTAAAACACTCGAACCGATTTTATTGAAATTATATATGTACCTAATTGGACTATGGAGACGGATACTGTGCGAACGAAATCACTGACAAAATTAAATTAGTTACCTACTTCACAAAATAATAATAATAATTCTTTTATTTATAAAAAAATGTACTCTTTTTTTAAGTCGGTTTATTAAAATATGTATGTACTGGAACGTTCTTCTAAGTTTAATAAATACTTTTCTGAAACCGCATCATTCTGAAATCGGTTTAGCCAATTGCGAGATAATCGCGCACACATATACACACACATACAGGTCAAACAGGGAATCTTCTTTTTAGAAGTCGGTTAAAACATAACATAACATCACGCCTTTTTATCCCCGAAGGGGAAGGCATAGGTGCACATTACGGCATTTAATGCCACTGTACAATGTAACACCCACTTTCACTATTCATGTTACGAGTCCCATGTAATAGGGGGTGAGCCTATTACCATATACCGAGCCCATTTCCAGACTCCGTGCTACTACTGAGATTTTTAAAAACCCAGTAATTCTTTGCCCGACCCGGGAATCGAACCCGAGACCCCTTGCCCGGCAGTCGCACTTGCAACCACTCGGCCAGTCAAGCCAGCGAGACAGTCAAGCAAGTCGGTTAAAAATAAATGTAAAAACGTTTATTAGCGCTTCAGAGAATTAGCACAGTGAAGCCCTGGTTCTTGTACTAGGTATCCCTGTATCACAAGAACCAGGTCTCTCAATATACATAGAAACGTAGCACCACGTGAGACTTGACAATTAATAATGACTTATGTAATACGAATAAATTCAAAGTTGAAGAAAAATAAAAACAAAACCAAAAACATTGTATTTTACGCAGCCGCGGTGGCGTGTTGCTATCGTGAGAAACAAATCAACGAACTTGATATTCATAAAACATGAGATATTTCTGCAAAGATAACTTGTACAGATTTTTTGCAAATTGATATGATATGTGATGTCCGTGCGATATTGTCTCATGTGTAGGTATCAATTACATGTAATTCGGTAGTGATGACGTGTTTGAAAGATAATAATCTTTTTTAATAGGTACTGGATCCATTGTCTACATTAACATTAACAGACATAATACTAGGGTAGTTGCCAGGGTATCAAAATTAAAAATCTAATTAGTCCGTCAGTTAGATAATGAAAAAATATTAGACACGTGTTTTTTATTTTCTCGTATTAAATTGCAATACTTAGATAAAATGGCGCTAAGTTTAGGAGTGGGAGGTCGTTACGTCATAACGTTCTACCAATTGTGCCACGCTGTGACGACACACGATATTTCAAATTAATATATCGTCGAATAAATTAATGTACATACCAAACGGACAGTAAAATAAAATTTAGGAAACTACCCTATTGTATTTAGATGATGTATTAGATATTCTTCAGATGCGACTGTACCTAATTAGGGAAGAATTCAATATTTTATTTTATTTTCGCCGACGACGGCACGGTTGGTGCGGTCACTGGGCAACCGGCTGCCGCGCAACGTGTCGCGGGTCCAATTCCTGCACGGAACAATTATTCTTTGAGTGGTCCACAAATTGTTGTTCCGGGTCTGAGTGTCATTGTGTATGTGAACTTGTATGTTTGTAATTACGCACCTAAGACACAGGAGAAAATCGTAATGTGCGCCAATATTTTCTGAAAAGAAATACTTTGTGTACAAGATGAACTGCTGCATACTGCTAACAGATAAAAACTGCTGCAATACAAGTATTATGTATATAAAGAGTATATTTGTTTCAGTCAGTGGGATCGCAAAACCGGGAACAATGACTGCGTTAATGGGACCGAGGTAAGTTATCTTTTATTAATAAACCATTATTTGAAATGGCAGTATTGCCTAAATTTGTGGAAATTTATTTTTGAAGCCTGAAATTCTTAATTACAATAGATGCGAAGAATGTTTTACGTCAAAACAATGTTTTAACAATGTTTTACGTCAGATCTAGTTTTAGAAAAATATACGTATCTTGTAAAATGACATTGCTAGCTAGTGCAAAATAATAAAAAAACTCAATTATCTATTTCTACATCAGTTTAAAGACTAGAATCGATAAAAATCATAACGTGTTCCACTTAGAAATATCACGAGGAAGAATAACAACTTCGTCGAGTACCGTCATTATAGACACAATTATAGAACAATAGGTTGCGGTCACCGGTGTCCGCGCGGTGTTTGACAGTTTAAACTGTCTACTAATAAAACTAAAAAACTAAAAGCTACCTACTAATAAAAGTCGTGCAAAATCGGTCCAGCCACTTCAGAGATTAGCTAGTACAAACGGAGACATAAACAGACAAAAACTGTAAAAAATGTTATTTTGGTTTGTTTATCATAATTATGTACATATATTCGGTTATTTTAACATTACATACATATTTATATCTGAATAGATAAATGAAAGAATTTTCACACATAACTTAACATAGTATACAAGATAACTATCAAACCATGACACATGTCGTTTTTGATGGGTAACATAAGATGAGTGTTAATTTCTGTACAATGATGACAATGGACAAATTATGTATGTACCTATGTACTTTAATATTTCGTTTCTTATTGAGTGGATATGTTACATGTTGTATCTAAGAAATGTAACACACTCGTGGGAACGAAAATGAATAGCTGACCTGGATGACCCGGTTTTGTTCGGTATTTTTATTTTTAGTGAACCGCTATTTTTTGAGATTGAACCTTATCTAACTATATCCATACTGCACGGTTCGTGCCGTGCCTGGGTAACCGGCTGCCATGCAACGTGTATCGGGTTCGATTCCCGCATGGAACAACACTTTGTGTAATCCACAAATTGTTGTTTCTAGTCTGGGTGTCATTGTGTATGTAAACTTGTATGTTTGTAAACGCACCCACGACACAGGAAAAATTTTTAATGTGGTACAAAGTTTTTTTTAATTGTCGTCCCCGAACCCCGTTACTTAGATATAACGATTCAAGAAAATCGTTGGAACCGTTTCCGAGATCGTTGCGGTCATACTTATATACATTGATAGAACAAGTACTATTATTGGGAAAATAAAGATGAAGACAACCATTTTTGGGTATAACTTATAGTAACTAATATATTATTACCTCTACCTATAGGTAGGGGTATAATCAATTTATCACCATTGGAGAAAGATCACAAAAAATAGAAAAAAACACGATTTTTTTTATCTGTGAGAAATTTTTTTTAGTCCTGTATCTAATTAATAGTACCAAATTAATAGATTAAGAGATTTATTATTATGTCTTATAGGTGGCTGGGTAGTGTTATTAAACCATAAAGTAATGACCGGTTAAGCAGGCACGTTTAATTTTTTAGGACAATCTTCAATAAAATTGCTTAAAAATGTACATAAATTTCATTTAGTAGGTACCTAACTAGACAAGAAATAACTTTATAGACATACTACGTTTGAAAAAAAATATTTTTTTAAAATTAATGTCGTAAAGAATTTAATTCAAAAAGATGTAGGTAGGTATGTATTAAATCTCATAATAATAATTAATTCGGAATGTATAGTTTATTAATAAACTTATTAGGTGAACCTTTTAGTTTTAAATGTGAATTAAATTTTTTTCATTAATATTAAATTTAATGTAAAATAGGTCCATTATGTTACCCTGTAACGATGCGACGCGACGAGACGACGCCACGCGCGACGCGACAAACGTAATATATTTTTGCATATTTCATTGATATATTTTGGTATTATATTTTAGTTTACGTCAAAAACTTAGATATTTATAAATAATGAATAATTAAATTAAAACACGAATCAATTGCTTTGTTAAACTATTTTATTAATATGTTTTATGATAGGAATTTGGACGTCATTCGTGAAATTAAATAATATGTAAATATATAAAAATAAATAAATACGTGAATATGTTACAACGCATCTGACAAGCCAGATAAGTAATAAATATTCATATGTTTTTTTATTGCTTTATAAATAAAAATAAAAATAGAAACTGCATTATGAGTCAGATATCACTTAGTGCAACTATGATTTGCATAGAAAATACATAAAAATGCATTTAGGAACTAGATTATAAAATATTAAATTGATTTTTATTAGGTTATTATATTGTTTAGTAGACAATTGTAATAAATTATTAAGTCATCGTAAATAGGTATCATAAGCAAATTAGAAAAAAAAGAAAATTAAAAAAAACTGCAATTTATTTGTTTTATTTAATTATGTGCACTGGCACATAGTAAAATAAGCACACAGTACAATAAGCAACCGAATTACGATTGAGTTCGAAATTTAAAAACAAATATCATCTACGGCAATGTGTCGGCAATTGGGTACCTACTTTCCTTAATCAAAAATACTTTATTTTGACTGTTCAATACAATACTACATCTATATAAATAAAAATGAATTTCTGTACGTTAGTCACGCTAAAACTCGAGAACGGTTGAACCGATTTGGTTAATTTTGGTCTTGAAATGTTCGTGGAAGTCCAGGGAAGGTTTAAAAGGTGAGAAAAAACTATTAGGCGGTACGAAGTTTGTTTACATAAAAAACTATCGTGTTTGACAGTTCGAAAAACGTATTGAATTTGAATAGTTGGCAAGCCAATTGACCAATCGATTTTGAACTCTCCAATACAACAAAACGTACGAGAATGAAAAGACAATAAAACGATACACCCGTATTTTTTTTCTAAATACAAAATCTAGCAATGAAACAGAAACATATTTCCTCATTATGATCAGTTATCGATACAAATAACTCGACTGGAAAGTTATGAACTACATACAGACATAGCCGTACATACATTACTATTCTCAAGTTACACTGCGTACGCGCATGCTCCTAGGCGTCAACTCGAAGGTATGTCTGTCTTATATCACGATTGTATATTTGTACAATGATAATTTTCCATGAAAATGGCAGTAAAGATCTTCAAATTGAGTAATACGTAAACAGGTTTCGATAATAATGTAAATTATCTCTGAGATAGGGACTTATGTACTGAGTAGGTTTTATTAAACTAAAATTCGTTTTAAACTGTCAAACACCAAGCGGTCACCGGAGACCGCAACCTATTGTTCTATAATTGTGTCTACAAAACCGGTACTCGACGAGTTAACCCCTGGTATGACGTATTTGAGACACAATAGAAAACGCATTGTGTACTCGCGTCTATGTAGATGTACGTCACCGCCCCCGGCATAACATAACATAACATAACATCACGCCTTTTATCTCCGAAGGGGTAGACAGAGGTGTACATTATGCCACTGTACAATGTAACACCCACTTTTCACTATTTATGTTATGAGTCCTATGTAATAGGGGGTGAGCCTATTGCCATATACCGGGCACAATTCCATACGCCCCCGGCATACTAGGGGTTCATTTAGTTTTTTACGACCTATTATGGGCTGACTTAGGTTGATTGCATCACGGCTGAAATAAGTCCGTGGTGCCCTTGGTAGCCGGAATGCGTGATTGACTTATCTCGCGGTCGAAATCACCCCGTAGTATCCCGGAACCCGGATCTACGCGAGATATAATGTGTCTAATATACTCGGCTACAAGAGGTTAATATAAAATCTCTGCGTAATTTATGACAGAAATTAAACTTAACATCGTTCTTCAATACATAATATGAAACAAAGTCGCTTTCGCTGTATGTCCGTATGTATGCTTAGATCTTTAAAACTACGCAACGGATTTTGATGCGGTTTTTTTAATAGATAGAGTGATTCTTAAGGAAGGTTTGTATGTATAATACATGCATATTGCACCCGTGCGAAGCCGGGGCGGGTCGTTAGTAATATATAAATATTAGATTTTAATTTCGGTTACCTAATGGGTACATAAAAAATCTTATTAAAAAAACAAATCTTACAACTCAATTTTTCTACAGTTAGATCTTGTGAGATCTATGTCATACCAAGTCGGTTAGATACTCTAAAGAGGGGGCATTGAGTATTCTAACTACTTAACAATGTCAAACGTACAGACATATACACTTATAGGTACATGTTGTGAAAAAAGTTGATGCCGAGTAATATGATCTTTCTTTTATGGCATAAGCCGGTAAACGAGCAGACGGATCACCTAATGGTAAGCAACTAGCGCCGCCCATGGACACCTGAAACACCAAGGCGTTACAAGTGCGTTACTGGCCTTTTGGGAATTGGGCATCGGGGATTGGGAAGACTGGGGTCGTTTAGCCTCCGATAACCTCAACCACATGACGAAACACAACGCAAGCGTTGTTTCACGTCGGTTTTCTGTGAGGCCGTGGTATCACTCCGGTTGAACCGGCCCATTCGTGCCGAAGCATGGCTCTCCCACACTTAATTTTAACACACTTTTATAAAAATCTAATTGTTGAAAAAAATGTCAACTTATGAATTTCTCACGTAGCCTAATCTTAATTTGTGTATAATAAAATATATTTTTTTTTATTTCTGTCGCAGTGGAGCTGGCAAAACCACATTGATGTCGGCGCTTGCACACCGAAGTCCGGGTGAGTTACTAATTTTAATTTTTTTTAATGCATTTTATCAATAAATTTATCTTTTGTTCTTCGAAAATTATTAATCTATGTTAATTTGTACCGTAATGAATATGACTTTAGATCTGTATCAGTAAAGATATTAGATTTCTTGATAATTTTGCTACTAATTTTGTCTGTTTTTCTTTCATATATTCATTTTACGTGATCTACGGTATCAGTGTCGGGTTTTTTGAAGTAATCTATTGTATGCAGATTGATTTATGGTCCATAATGCATATTAAATAATACCTAATTAAATTGACAATTTGTTTATTAAAATTTGCTTTACTTATGTCTAAAACTACCGAAATTTTTGTTGTAGGTATTTTAAATTCATATAACACCCAATAACTAGTAAAATAATATTAATAACGGCTTTTCATTTCACGGTGACTTCCGACTATTGCTGCTAATGGTTATGAGCCCCGAGTGTGGCTGGAAACTAGTTGAGAATCCTCGAAAAGCTTACCATAGGTTCGAAACCATAAAAAATTGAGATTAATTTTAATGTTTTTTTGTACACCAATATTGATAACAAACTAGTGTTTTAGTGAAAAAAATCGGAATATTTTATATAGTGGCATATTATATGTATATATACCTACCACTATAACCTTCGTAATAGTAATAATAAATTAAATACAAAGAGTGATGATATACAATAAAAATTGTATATCAATGTATAATAGGTATTTTATTATGTGCTTATCTTGTATTAGCATAGAAATATTGTAATATACGATGCACTATTCTACGTCCATTGATTTGAGTCTAACACCGACCTGTTTGTGGGTAAATTCCGTAGTATTTAATTGAATAAAAACGGACAATATTAAACATAAAATTATTTTATATTAAACTAACTGCTTCCGCGCGGTTTCACCCGCTCAGCTCTGCTCCTATTGGTCGTAATGTTTTAAAGCATAGGCTATATATATTTCATATTCTATAATCGAGGATAGTTATAGAGCCATCTTCGATAAATGCGCTATTCGACACAAAATAAATCGGAGACGAATTGGTCGGCTCGATTGAAGCGATACCACGTCCTCACAGAAAACCAACGTGGAACAACGCTTGCGTTGTGTTTCGTCGTGTGAGTAAGGTTATCGGAGGCCCAATTACCCTCCGTCCTCAATCTTGAATCCCCCACAATCCTCAAATTCTCAATTCCCAAAAGGCCCGGCACTTGTAACACCTTGGTGTTTTAGGTGTCCATTGACGGTCCCGATTGCTTGCCAATTACTTACCATCAGATGATCTGTCTGCTCGTTATTACCGGCTTATTCCAAAAAAAAACAAACAATAGTACCTATGTAAGATTTGTGAATATAAAATATTCGACAAAGAGTCTTGTGTAACCTAATATGGCTAATTGTATTAAGGGCGAAACGTGCCGACTTAACACCTTACAAGAACCTACTAATTGTACCTAATAGGAGTTTTATCATTATTAAGTTGTAAAAAGTTAAAAACTAATTCCAGACCAGCTAGGCTTCTGTAAGATGACAATTCGAACTTTCGACGTGAGCTCGATCGTATTCCCGCCCGTCATTGGTCGAAATTATTCTCACAAACAATGACATGGTGGACCGCGATCGAGTTCTCTTCGATCTTTCGAATTAAGAGTTACAAAATAACCTAGTTGAAAATGTTGTGCATTTTCTATCGCTTATACCACGAGGAGTGCTCTGAGGAATTGTTTGACCTGTTACCTGCCGCATCTTTTCGCCATCGACCCTCACGACCGAATATGCATCCCCACCATATAGATGGCAGGCAGTCCACAACTGTGCGCTTCTCACGATGCTTTCTGCCTCGCATAGCAAAACTGTAGAAAGGTCAGTCGTCGACGGTATTTCCGAACCGATACGACCCGCAAACCTTCAAGAAAAGAGCGTATTCCTTTTTAAAAGGCCGTAAGAACACAGAACCAGAGGCCAGAACAACAAAAAGACCTGTGACTCCTCTAGTGTTACGGGAGTCCATGGGCGGCGCTGATCGCTTACCTTCAGGTGATCCGTCTGCTCGTTTGCCTCCTATTCCATAAAAAAAAATAATTGAATTGAGTTTAAATCCCTTACAAGATTATTATCAAATGTTGTGTGTATTAAATATTAAAATAGTTTTAAGGTCAAAATATTTTGTGGCGTCATGTATGCGTGTGTTAATGACGCAAATTCATTCACGTTGTGGAAGTTTCTTGTTAATAACCTCGAAATCGGCTTAGGTATTTTGAGTCCTAATCATAGTGCCTCAAAATATTTAATTAATGACGTAAGTAACCCAGGAAGTTAAAAAACGTTTAGTGGTATCTAACCGAAGGTCTGTTTTTGGCCGAAGCTGAAGCCGATTAAGCCGTTATAATATAGTTATCGTACCGAAAAAGTAGTCTGTAAACATCAGAAATAAGGTCTAGAATGGAGTAAGTGGAGAGCGGTCCCCGGTGACCTCTTGGGGTTTGATCAATCGGCAGACGGCAATCAATCAATCAATCGGCAATCGCCACAACCTCCGCCCGAAGCCGAAGCCGAAGGTTTATAATTTTTCAGTAATTCATTTTATGAAATCTACAAGCTACAATTAATATTAAAATTATTTCAAAATTTCTATATTGATGTTTTATATTGACTGCCTCATATAGAAAATAATTAAGAGATGGTACATAAGTAATAAAAATTTGTGATTAATTTGTAAAAAGAACATTTCGTTATTAATAAAATAATAATTCACAAAATACAATTAGACCAGTCAATCAGTTTTTGTTTTACTCGACTAGACCAAAACTAGACAAATAAATTAAATAATAAAATATCTTCCAAATAAATAATTAAATATTGACTCTCTCACTCAGTCTTTCGTAATAGTTCGTTCAATCTCGACGGTTGCTCGGACCTTCGGTGAAACTTCGGCGTCGGCCGCCGAAGATGGTTTTTAGGGCCGAAGATGGCCGATGAAAGCCGAAGTTTCGATTACAGACTAATGTTTAGGAACACTACAAAAACTAAAAATATCTTTTATACTCTGTGTACCTGTCTGTCAAAACCTTTTAACTTGATTATATAATTATAATGGTAACATTTCCTTAAACTGTCATAAAGTTATTTAATTTCATGCGTAACCGTCAATTAACGTAGACATTCTTTTTATATTAGCCGTATTCTTTTTATACGGCTAGTTGTATGGGTTTTATTAAGGTTTTTTTTTTTAACGAACTGTTAGAACATTTAACCTCTTATCTGCTGGCATATAAGACACAATAGAAAACATATTGTGTCTCGCGTATATCTACGCTCCCGGTATACCATGGGTTAAACATAGTCGTTTGGGGTCTTAGAAATGTGGTCTTAGAAATCTAGAATTTTAGATGCGTCAAGTCTGCACGACTGCACTGTTGGTGCGGTGGTTGGGCAACCGGCTGCAGTGTAACGTGTCGCGGGTTCGATTCCCGCAGTGAACAACACTTTGTGTGATCCACAAATTGTTGTTTCGGGTCTGAGTGTCATTGTGTATGTGAACTTGTATGTTTGTAAACGCACCCATGACACAGGAGAAAATCCTAAAGTGGGGCAACGGCTTTTTTTTTAAAAGTATGTACAATTTTTTCTTCGGTATTATAAAACCGAAGAGTTTCGTTTTTTAAACGCATTTATCTTCAGAACTTCAGAACAGAGGTTCGAATTGAAAAAAAAAATATTTTTGTCTCTGATTGCCGATTTATCGAGGATGTCCAGGAAACCTGGTACTATAAACATCACGCTGCAATCAATTGCATCAAAATAGCGGATAAAACTGCGCAAGAGTAGCTAGGTAATAATATTGTATTCAAAATAATATTAAAAATACGATGGCAACATTTTAATATAATCTTTGTTACGTTAGGTCATTTTTTGAATGTGATAATTCGCATAATTATATGAAAATGCAGTCATAATACTGAATTGTCTTACAAATTGACATCATCTTTACTAATAGTCTTAATCAGTCAATAATATTCGAATAATAATGGCCGTCTATATAACAGAAAAATAATTCTTAATGTTTGATACAAAGTTTCAGTCAAAATTCGAATTCGTATTCATAAAATAATAAGTTCGGAATTTAAAAGTTCATCGGCAAAATTAGAGAATTGAATAACAATATCGTGGAATTTTAATTTAATTGTAGGTAGACGACGCCCACAATATTTATTTTTGAAACCCCTTTATTTTTAATTTCAATTTGAATTTGAATTTTGTATTTATAAATAGCTCATTCATACGTTTTGGCATAGAGATAGGTATGAATAAATCTAAAATGATCTCCTTACTTATTCTTGTAATAAATTATATCTATTATTCTTGTAATAAATTGTATCTTTTATTCTTGTAATAAATTATATTAGACAGTTTTTTTTAAGGGGGGAAAATCATCGAATGACTGCGTGACTAAAAACCACTCCGTTACTACTCCTGCACTTCGAGCCAGTAACCCATCAGGTTCTCCGCGGTTCCGTATCGGCCCCATCTGTGGTGGTCTGATGACTCTTTGAGGCGCGCGCGGAACGCGACGCGCCGTACGTTCGGATCTGGTTCTGGTCAGGCGGCGAGCCACCCATGCTCGCCGTCCGCGCGATCTCCGATGCCTGGAGTGTCCTTCGCGATGGCTTCCAGCACTTCGCTGCCCCGCCCCGCCTCCTTCTTAGCTAGCATGACTACTTCGCATAAGGAGGAGACGGCATTCCAGTCCCTCTCGCTCCGCATAATGACGAGAGAGGTCGCCGTCGCCGATCACGTCCCTGAGGGCACGGCGGTGCTCAGCCCACGCAGGGCATTCTCCTACTGTGTGTTCCACCGTGTCCTCAGGGTGGTCCTCGCAGTGATGACCCCCGGGCATTTTCTCCCGCCCTGTCAGACACAGGTACCTCCCGGAGCTACCATGTCCGATGAGGACCTGCGTCTGGCGGTAGGTGAGGACGCCGTCCGCTCAAGTCACTCCTCAAAGAGGGGACTTACAGCTGCGATGGCAGCGAGCCCAGTACAGAGACAGTAACCATTGGTTGGCTACAGAACCAACCAATTTACCGTTGGCAACAAGATATGGCTTGGTTGAAAACTATATAATAAGAGCTGTTGTCTCTATACTAAGTCAATCTATCTTATCTACATACCTATTTGGTATACATACTTGACCTTACTGTACAGTTAATTACGTATGACAAATGGTGAAAGAAAACATCGCGAGGAACCCTGGGCTAATGATTTCTAATTATAAGTTTTGTAATCGCCAACCCGCATTGAGCAAGCGTTGTGATTAATGCTCAAACCTTCTCCGTGTGAGAAGAGGCTTTGCTCAGCAGTTGACATTTATAGGCTGTTGATGACTGATGATTGAAAAACAATATTGACGCACATTAGGGGTTTTTCCTCTGTTTTACTCCGGATTTCTGGTCTTCCTTTCAGTGTACAAAAACAAAATCATGTCAATAAAATAATAATGAAAAATAAAAAAAATATCATAATAAAATAATGCAAGCATTTGCATGAAGATGTTTTGACATTTTCCAATGAAATCTTATACTATGTACATCTGAATATCAAAGAATAACTCGTGTCACCGAAACGTTTGGCACTCGATAAATAATTTAAATGTCTCTGGTATAGGGTTACAATTCCGGTAGCCAGATATAGAACAAAAAAATTTGTACTTACTTGTATGTAGGAACAACTAGCGGAGGTTTCAAATGACAATGACACATTTTTTATAGAAAGAACACTTGTAGAAAATCAAAGACAGAATAGACGTGGTAGTTCGAATGATCAACTTTAGAAGGTACCTTTAAATTTCTTTTGAAATTAGAATTTACGAATAATTGTAGGTATGATGCTACATACACACTCTCGCGCGACCGCACACGAGATTGAGATACATTGCATTTTTACAATACGAGAATGACTAAAACTCTATGAATAGCGACAATGTATCTCGGTGTCGTATCGACTCGCGCGAGAGTGTAGATATAGCATTAGGATTTTTTATGTAAAATTCTCATTATCAATAAAATTGTGTAGGTATAAGGGGATACCTACATACATACTAGTTTTATAGATCTAGTATCATTAACATAGATACAGAATAGCGATAATCCCAATAATGTGATACCTACGTAGGTATTAAAGTAATTTATTGGTCATAACCAAATTATTATGTGAAAAAGAGAAGGTCAAGTGGCCAAAGCACATTATCTCGTGAAAACTGGTTCATTCCTTAACATTCATTTCATAGATTCGTAAGGAAAATTAATCTCCATAATTTAATAAAAACTTAAATAAAATTAATACTAAGTATTACTAAATTAAATACACATTCAGTCAAAAAGTATCGGGAATTGATGATTTGTCTATGGTTCCAAATTCAATTTTTTGTTTTTTTTTTTAGTTGTTAGATAGACACAACTTTTTTCCATTTTGGCGCGAAATTTGAGTTGCATCTGTTATTTATATTAAATACAGTGCTGGTTTTAGTAATGCCATATAGAGGTATAAATTTATTAAAATAAAACTAAAAACAACTATTTACATAAAGCATCGAAAAATTTCGTCCGCATCGACGTCGCTGGGGAAAGTACCCAGAAAGCTGGCAGCATTGCCATAGTGTAATTTAAATTTGTTAATTTGAAATTGATCTCCTTGTTTAATTTTGTAATTATTATTTGAACAGTGGATACGGTAGTCGATGGTGATGTCGCCATGAATGGGACGCCACTGGGAGAGTTCATGCACCAGGAAAGCGGTTACATGCATCAAGATGACCTGTTTGTGGACAATCTTACTGTTATGGAACATCTTACTATCATGGTAAGTGTCCTGCCTGCTGCTTTATGTTATTATGATGTGAATATTATTATAAATTATCCATTCTGCAGCTGTAGCCAAATGCCATTTAGCGCTTGTCTACATGTAGAATAGAAAACCAAATTATATGGAATTGACGTAAATTTTGACACTTGTCAATGTCATCCCCATACATTTTGATTTCTACTCTCTCTGTAGACAAGCGCTAAAGTGGCGTTTGGCTAAAGGCCCTGCTCCTATTTACTCTTACGTTTCATTAACATTACTTCTCTTGTTTTTCTCTCTCTTGTCTCTCAGTTTTCCATTAGGTACGTTTTAGTTTTGATCTGCAAATCTACATTTATATTTGTGTATCTTACTCTTTCTCATAATCTAATCCTCTTCTGTTTGTTTATAATTTCTTTTTTGTATTTAATGCCTTATGTCTTTTATACCGTACCTAACACTTATCGCTATTACATAAACTATTACCGGCAAATATCTAAAAATAGCAATTTCTTTATATGCATTTTCATTTTAGTTTCTAAAAACAAACCAGCCTTCAAAATCTAGCTATGGTGTAAGCTAAACATAACATAACATCACGCCTTTTATCCTCGAAGGGGTAGGCAGAGGTGCACATTATGCCACTGTACAATGTAACACCAACTTTTCACTATATAAGTTATGCGTCCCATGTAATAGGGGGTGAGCCTAATGCCATATACCGGGCACAATTCCAGACTCCTTGCTACTACTGAGATTTTTTTTAAAAACCCTGTAATACTTTGTCCGATCCGGGAATCGAACCCGAGACCCCTTGCCCGGCAGTCGCACTTGCAACCACTCGGCCAACGAGGCAGTCAGACTGTAAGCTGAATCAGGGATATAAATATTTTTTATTTTAAATTTTCTTAGGCCAGGCTCCGTATGGACGCACGCACATCTTCCTTGGCTCGCAAGAGACGAGTGAATCAGCTTTTGCGTCAGCTCTCACTGTACGGGTCCAGGTTCACGCTGATTGGAGGTCTGGATGGAAGAAAAACCTTGTCTGGAGGAGAAAGGAAGAGGCTAGCCTTCGCCACAGAAGTAAGTTGCTTTCTCTTCTACAAATGTCATCTATATTTTGTGTTAATGATATTGTGAAATATGATGGCATACACCAAGCGCAAATCTCGGGAACAGTGGTACAAATTCAACTTAGGTATTGTCAAAAAAAATATTAATGTATCAGATACTTAAGCTAAAAAGAGAAATTATCATCATAAATGAACACAAAGGTTAGGAAAAGTCAAAGTCAAAGCATTTATTTCAATTAAATCTTAATTAGGCACTTTTGAAACGTCAAAAATTGAATTGTCCGTCCGTCCGTCTGTCAGTGAAGTTAGGCGCTCATTCCAAAGTGTAGTTTCGAATGGAGAAGAACGAGCAAGAAACTCCATTGTTACTATTTTAAAACAATGTATTGGTACAGTCTTATTGATACCTTGACAAAATATAGGACGTTGGTTGTTGGTTTCTTATGTTTTGCATAAATTATCTATCATAATTTTTAAAAATTGGTATACACATGAGCCCTATCTATCATCTATCAAGGAATATCCACTATTCCTATAAAAGATATGCGTCTTTTAGAGGCAATGGAATGTAAAGATAGAATAAATCCGAATGTTTTTACGTCAAGTTAGAAGATGGCATTTAGGTAACGCATTACTTAAATGAACCGGTTAGAATTAACATAACCTACAATGATGATATGAGTTCAGATAAATTCTGTTTTTAATTGACATTACTCGATATTTTTGTATATGTAATAAGTTGAATTTCTGCATTTATGATTAATGTAGGAGACCATAAATTAATAATTCGATTCAATAAATGATTAATTATGTTATGTTTAATATCTTATTTTATTTTGCGTAATTTATTTGTTTAAACTCGGATACCGACTACAATGTGCAACATAAGTGCAAAATTATTCATTTATGATCATAATAACACGTCAACGCCTATGTTTATTAATTTATTTATCTGATTTATCAATAAAAAAGGACAAGGTTATTGACATTATATTCATTTGGTTTTGTTTATTCTTTTTATCAATCGACTTTGATCAATCATTGGAATCTTGATGGAATTCAATCAACTACGAATTCATTTCGTTGGATTATTTTCTCAGTAGTTTCATTAGTAGACAGTTTATTAGATATAGTCTCAGTTGACATTAAGTACCATTAAACTGTCAAACACCAAGCGGTCACCGGTGACCGCAACCTATTGTTCTATAATTGTGTCTATAATGACGGTACTCGACGAGTTAATGCAGAAAAAAATCAAATTTGTCTTCAATGCGTAGACATGTAGCTTCGTCGTGTATCTTCTATCGCTTATATCACGGGGAGTGCTGTAAACAATTGTTTGATCTGATACCTGTCGCGACTTTTCGCCATCGACCCTTACAACAGCGTATCCACCCCCTTCATATAGATGGTGAGCAAGCCACGACCGTGCGTTTTTCTCATAGCTTTCTGCCTCGCACAGCAAAATTGTGGAATGTTCTGTCGTCGGCGGTATTTCCGAACCGATACGTCCTTCAAACCTTCAAGAAAAGAGCGTATTCCTTTTTAAAAGGCTGGCAACGCACCTGTGACTCCTCTGGTGTTGCGGATGTCCAAAAGCGACGTTTGATCGCTTACCATCAGGTGATAAGTCTGCCTGTTTGCCTCCTATTCCATAAACTTGAAGAACAAAACACAAAAGCCAAAAATCCCAGACCAAATTTTTCAATTGTAGGTACACCTAAATACATCCTTGTTCGACCACTTCTTTTTATAATAAAAAAGTAGTTGGTACATTATCCAAATTATGACTACATCAACAAATAAATATACTAAATGCAATAATTTGCATCCCAGACACGAATCACAAACAAGATATACAATCAGTGGGTACATTTCCGTGATCTACGTAGGTGCCACCGATATTTACATCATCTAAAGGTTTTAGGTCGAAAATAGATGTTTCTTTATATTTAATGCGTTGCATCTTGCGTGAAATAATATCTCATGAATGAAAGAGAAATTAGATCTTAGAAATACATAATTATGTCCCGGTACCGCGATGCGCAAGAAATTTTTTTTTTTCTGTTCCCATTTTACTACATAAAATTTATTCAAAACATTCATTATTTACCGTATGGTAATAATAAGATCCATCGAAAATTACAAAACGCCACTGAATTCCATACTATGTATAATTGAATAAACATGACCATTGAACAAAAATTTCGAATAGCACCACTTCAATATGAACCTTTTCTCACAAATTCTTCTTTTCCAGCTTCTAACAGACCCTGGACTTCTCTTCTGCGATGAACCAACAACGGGTCTGGATTCCTCTTCAGCACACCAAATGATGACCCTCCTTCGAGCCAGTGCTGTACAGGGCAAGACCGTCATCTGTACCATTCATCAGCCAAATACGGAGCTGATGGCACAGTTTGATAAGCTGGTCCTCCTAGCTGAAGGACGAGTGGCGTTTGCTGGTACAGCCACGCAGGCCTTAGGTTTCTTTAAAAGGTAAGAGCAGCTTTTTTTAAATCGACACTATTCTATAGTGTTTTTTTAAACATTGGTGACCTCAGAACATAAAAGAAGGAAATGCAAATTAAAAAAATATATATATCACTTGAATCTTCGAGTTTAGCCTTTAACGAGATTTTTTTTTTTAAAGTCATCTGGTTTTCTTTTCTCGTGGTTTCTTTGTGGGCTACGTGTAGGCTTATAGCATATGAGAAAAATAAAATTAATGAAGACTCTCATTAGCATTTAATTTTTTAGCATAAAGCTCACGCAAATACCTGCTTTATTAACTAGGTACTCTTAACATTAAAATATTATTTAATCGATACATCTTAATTTAATTCAAAAATAATGGGTACTAATACCGAAATCCTTGAGATTTCCAATTAAATGAACCAGGTATAAACTTTAATCTTTACGTTTTTTACAGAAATATGAATACTTAGCATAATTATTAATATCAGCGATCAGGCGATCATATTTAATTTAATGTAACGTTCATTTAAGGACAGTGTAAACGTCACATTTCTGCATATTTTTTAAATAAATTGCTTTTTAAGATTTAACGTTTAGCTAAAAATAGATTTAATTAGCATAAAAAAGTGTTACTAAACGACTAGGCCATCTATTTCCTCCAAAAAATATATTAACATGTATTACTTCTATTAGTTAATAGGTAGCAGCATAAATTTGCAATTTTACATTTTAAAATACCTAATTTATCATGTCATCACATTTTAACAAAAAAACTGGGTCAAGTGTCATGAGAGTTTAGAAAATGTATTCAATATTTTGACATATAGACGAGTAAGAGATGTAGGTGATTTATTTAGGGTCAGTATACTGCCTTAGATTATATACATAATACCCTATGTATAATATATTACCCTCTAACATCGTTTTCAATACCTATAATTCATACCAATACACCTAGGTGTAGATACCCAGATAGGTAGATTTCGTTACCAGATAGCTTTTTATCAAGTTTTATGCGATAATTTCTTCAAATGATACCTAATTCTTGCTGATGAATGCCCATATTGAAACAGTCTGTTGAAAGGTGGTGCTAAATATCATTAAATATTTATTCTGTTAAATAGAAACTTTTAGGGTAAACCCTGTTAATCCTTTTGATTGAACTGAATGTTGAACTTCTAATAGACATCTAGATTATTAAATGGTTCCCCAAGCGGTCATCGGTGACCGCTCTTCTTTAACTACATTATAGACCTTATTTCCAATGTTGAGAGACTACTTTTGTATGAATAAATTTAGGGGATGACTTTCAAAAAAATTTAACGGGTTTCTGTTATCTGAAGTGTGGGAGAACCATGCATCTCGGCACGAATGCGCGCGCTCCAACGGAGTGAACCCACGGCTTCACAGAAAACAGAAATAAAACAACGCTTGCGTTGTGTTTCATCGTGTGATTGACGTTACTTGAGGTCCTATTACCCCCCTTCCCAGTCGCGGAGAACCTAACTAGTCCGACTCGACGTGCAGGAGAAGGAACGGGGTGGTTTTTAGTCAGTAAGAGTCTGACACTCCCTCCCGCCTCACCCAGGCGGGAGCAGTCATTCGATGATTTTCCCCCCTTAAAAAAAACCCCTTCCCAATCTACGTAATCCCTGAATCCTCAACAATCCTCAAAAAACCTTATCACCAAAAGGCCGGTAATGCACTTGTAACGCCTCTGGTGTTTCGGGTTTCCATGGGCGGCGCCAATTGCTTACCATCAAGTGATCCGTCAGCTCGTTTACCGGCTTATGTCATAAAAAATCATAGTACCTAAATTAATAATTATTATTGAACATTATTTTAGGTACCTATTTCAATAAACAGGTGTGAAGTATTTACAAAATTGAGGATATATTTGATACCGTATTAATCTTATTACGTTCGTCGGGTTTGCGTTTTATACACTAAGCTTATCAGTACCTATTATGTATATTGAATGCAAAAATATGCTTGTCTAGTGATCTTTGGTAAAGATTACTCTAATTATAAACTAATTTTAATATGTATTTAGAAATAATTTAGTATTTTGACTACTTTTTATCTTGTCCATCTAAATTTAAGTCATAGTTTAAATACTAGATGGTAAGATATCAGATTACTTTAATGCGTTTTGTTATTGTCAGTAAATAGGTTATATATAGGTTATGAAGATTACTTTACTTTACTTTAATCATTATTTTTTTTTCATATTCATTTAATCATTTGCAAACATGGGTACATAATATATAGGTGTTAACAAGGTTTATAGTTTCTCCATATTTTGCCTTAACTTGGCATGCAAAGATATGTTATAAAAATAATTACATAATAAAATTAGGTCCATTGAATTGAATTATTTGTAATGTTGTTAGAATACAATAATGTCAAAGAAATTATAATTATTCATACCACTGAAGTAAAAAAATTATATCTAAAATGTTTGCATAGTATAGCATACTTGGTCCCCAGACCCCCCTACTCGATTTAGGCCTATTCCCTTCCATGCCAAAACACACGATTCAAAGTCAAAGTCAAAGTCAAAGCATTTATTTCAATTAAACCATAGTTTGGTAGTTACTTTTGAAACGTCAACAAATACAAAATTGATTTGTTGTCACTTCTAGTCGTACATTAATATTTGTCACAACTTACGATCTAGCCACGTCATTTTGCCTTCTTATCTTAATTGATATTATTTTAAATAAAAAAAACTAAAAAAATAAGTTTAATTAATTTAAATTTTAACATTTAATGAAAATTTTATTAAGAATAACATAATTACGTTCTTAGTTGATTTTAACATAGATAAGACATGTATTACATTACTATGCTAAATTACTTAACTATCGCTACGGAAATCTGTAGAATAAAAACTATTTCGAAAAAATTAGATCGTAATTAATACTGATTACCTATTTGATATTCATGATTTGCTCTAATTAGGATTAAAACTGCTAAATCAAAGCCATCTTTTTTGCCATCAAACGTTAAAGTTTGGCAAGTTTAGATTTAAGGCCCACACCTATGTAAAATTTCAATAAATAAGTTTCTTTAAAAAAAAATGCCTGGCTCGTTGGCCAAGTGGTCGTAAGTGCGACTGCCGGGCAAGGGGTCTCGGGCTCGATTCCCGGATCGGACAAAATATTACTGGGTTTTTAAATATTCTCAGTAGTAGCACGTAGTCTGGAATTGTGCCCGGTATATGGCAATAGGCTCACCCCCTATCACATGGGACTCATAACATAAATAGTGAAAAGTGGGTGTTACATTGTTCAGTGGTATAATGTGCACCTCTGCCTACCCCTTCGAGGATAAACGACGTGATGTCATGTTATGATGTTATGTTACAAAAAAAGAATTTCTGCATGTTCCTATATTTGATTTGTAAAAAAGTAATTACACATGATTGATTCTAATTAGATTAATTTGTTTTTAGTACCATCAATTCCATGACGCATTGTTTTTCTGTTTTTTTTTTAATGGCAAACTCCAGTACAGTCGACTATACTACCAGTGTCTTATCCAGTGTCCACCAATAGGGTAGATGACTAATTTTAATTTTAATGTCCGTCTGGTAGATTATTTAAAAACATTAGACACGTATCTTTTATTTTCTTACGGAAATTAATAGTTTCGAAGATTAAGAATGAATAATTTGAAATAGGTATCGCATGACGTCACTTTTGAGTACATTTGTACTCTAAAATGACATAGCTACCTCCCGCTCCTAAATTTTGATTTGCTCTATTTAAGTATTGTTTTCTTATACGACAAAATAAAAAATATGTGTCAAATATTTTTTTTATTAAGTACCTAATTGACGGACCAATTAGATTTTTAATTTTCATACCCTGTCATCATCCTTATTAGAGGTATAAACAGGCAATAATTAAGTCACTATCAGCTCCAAGGTCAAAAAAAGCTACAAGCTAGGTACTGATTATAAGAAAGTAACAAAGTCAAAGCAATGTCAGTGCCAATGCAGTCAATGAAATCAATTTTCAATAAACCAACGTGAAACAACGTATGTTTTGTTGTGTGAGTGAGGTTACCGGAGACCCAATATCCACAACCCCCGAAACCCAAATAATCCTCAAATTCCTTATCTCCAAAAGGCCGTTAACGCAATAAACTTTTACCGTTACCTCTGGTGTTTCGGATGGGCGGCGCCGATAGCTTACCATCAGGTGATCCGTTTGCTCGTTTACCGGCTTGTTGTCATCAGGGAATCATTATCAGATCATGCCCATCAGAGAATCGTTTAAAAATGTAGATTCGTATACCTAAAGAAAATCCATCATTGCTCTTTTAAGACACTAAAACTTTTGAATCTTATCATCTTACAGTGGTTTTATTTGACATCTCAACTAATAATTAATGTTGATCCAATACAATTGCTCCATCATTTAACTGGGCTAGTCTAGGCTGTGACCCTAATAGGACTTCCTGACGTACGAACGTACAACAATGCCATTCTCTTCACAGTGTATTTAGTGCATTTGATTTTATGCAACTAGAGCATTCTGAGCCTTTAGCAGTTTAGCCAAATGACACTCCAGCGCTTGTCTACAGAGAGAGTAGAAAACTAAATGTATGGGGATGGCACTGACAAGTGTAAAAATTTACGTCAACTCCAGATAATTTAGTTTTCTACTCTACAAGTAGACAAGAGCTAAATGGCATTTGGCTACAGCTGCAGTTTAATTTATAAGAGAGAATTTTCTAGAACTACTACAGGTATCAATTATGTTAAAAGTTTGACCACCAAATACAATAGATTGACTGGTTCCTAGTTTAATCCACTCATTCATCGCCATTAGGTTTTTAGCAACAAATATTTTTCTAATCCGAATGCATCTACATCTACCTATTGTTAGATAAAAAGATAAAATTGTGACGTAGAAAAAATGCATAAAAAATTATTGATAAAAAATATGTAATAATCTTCGTTTCGTGTGAAAATGTCTAAAATATGTCTTAGCCTCGGTCTAGCTTCGATTTAGAAGAATTATATTGAGATTTGACTAACAGATATTTAGATTATATCTAGCTAAAAAAAGTTGTATAATTATGACATAGGAATAATGTCACTAGCCCAGGTTTTTATAACATATAGGTGTCACGTAGACACCAAATTATAATTTATACATATCTCTATCTATACATACAATAAAATCGTAAAAAAGTCAGAACTGTACATTGAATATATTTTAAAGAAAACTTGAGGCGTGACCTACAAGCCTTCAATCGATATCGAAGCCATGAATAATATAGTTTTAATAATTTTTGTCTATTTGCCCGTACGTTTGTCCGGGCAAAACTCAAAAGTACCTACTGCATGGATTTGCTCCAAATTTTGCATAAATATTACTATCATGGTGCTTACTCTTGAAACCAATCTCAGTGTCAAAGTTCAATCCAATAAAATCTCAATAATTAGTCAATGTCAACACTATACTACCACAATAATTGTAACTGTTACAATAGCATTCAGAGTACGGAATATTAAGCCAAACTCAATACCATTTAGTTCATTCAATATCCACGCAATACAGATACAATGTGCGCTAGTGTTGTGCAACTCGAGAGTACCTACGTCATTTGACAATACCATTGTAGATCGATCGGAATTGGATTTAAGAGTAAGCACCCAGGTCGAGTCAACATATTATTACGATATCGCCTACGGGGGAGGAGCTGTGAATCTTCACTATTCCACGCGAACGAAGTCGTGGGCACAGCTATTAAAAACTATGCGAAACAACTTTTTGTTGATGTTTACACCAACGTAATAGTTGCGTACGTTTGTTTGTTTATCATAAAAAAATAATAATATCATAACAAACAAGTTCACGCCAGTTCCCATCACGTAAAACGTGATAAACTTGTACTAATAGTGAGTGACTTGAACAAAATAAAAAAAATATTCTGCAATCGAGTTAATGACCTACAACTTGAGTAGGTACCAGATGACATTTTTATACATTTTAATGTAAAACAAACATCATAAATAACAGCGCTTAATGATCATATTGAGCAATAGGAATACATTTATTATTATTTAATGTGATACAATTGAATATTTATTCTTTTTTATTCGATTATATCATACGAATATCTGTATAGTCGTAGGTAGTCATTAAATCAGGTATATTGAATCCCCGAAAAATGACTGAAGGCACTTGCTGCATACGTCATGCATATGGAAACGATTTCTAAGATTACTGTGGAACAAATTCTAGATGACATGACGTAATGAAATGTTTGAATGTTCAATTTCTACCTCTTACAGACCTGGGGACTTACTCTTGAATCCAATTCCGATCGATCGACATTGATATTGCGACATTTTGTACTCTTGAGTTGCTACACCAGCGCCCATTGCATTCGTATTGCGTGAATATTGAATGAACTAAATGGTATTCAGTTTGGCTTTATATTCCGTACTCTGAATGCTATTTCAACAGCTACAATTGTGGTTGTATAGAGGTAGTATTGACATTGAATAATTATTGAGATTTTATTGGTTTGAAATTGCATTGACATTGAGATTGGTTTCAAGAGTAAGCACCCTAATCTGGTTTCAAATAACCTAAATTTTATAAATTTCTAAAAAATCTTGACACTCGGAAAGTCCCTATAGTTCAAGCGTACTTACTAGGTATTTGATTAACGACAAACATAAGAACGATAATGTATTCTACAAAATAAAATATTCAAATGTAAAGACAGACACGTTTGTGTTCAATATAGTTACCATAATTATTGTAGATAGGTCCCATCAATAATATTAGCAGCTATTATGCAAATTAATAATGAGCAACAAAAACCTTGAACTGTTAATTCTCGGCCTAATAATAAGAACTTGTCAAACATGACTCTTGAACTTGGTTAATGTCAATATCTGGTATTTCCTTCGCAAATCATTCACTAATTAACATACAGGACATGTATGACAGTTTTTACGAGACATAACTTCATGTATTAAACCGCATAATATCAGACGATGGTGCTATAATATTGATAGGTATGCATAATTCAATAATGAGGAACTTAATAGAATTTAATAACGATCACTATTAAGAGAGCAAAAAGTATTAGGTACTATAGATAGGATTCATGATAACTATAGGTAATAAATCAAGTCATGTTCTGTAGACGTGTAAAATTCCCATGCCTAATTAATTGTAGATAAAGTAATCTTTAGAAGGATAATTCCGTCATGTAGGTACCTAGAATATCATTAACGAGAAGAAATATTATTGAATGCCACTACATCACTTGACTATAGTCATGAATTTATTATTTTATTGTTGTTTCAGTCTCGGCTACCAATGCCCCCTCATGTACAACCCTACAGACTACTTCATCAAAGTGCTGTCTCTAACTCCTGGTTCAGAGTCAGCTTCACGCCAAGCTATCAAAAATGTCTGCGATAGATTCGCAGTCAGCGACGAAGCCAAAGAACTTGACATGGAAATACAATATGAATTCCATATGATGGATAACGAAGATTCTACACGATCCGTAAGTAATTCTTTGACTCTACGTAGGCCTTTGATACATAGTTCACATAAATAAAAATAGTTAACAACACTAATAACAACAAATGTACGATGACTCACGTTTGGTTACCGGTTTCAAAACGAAATGTTGTGCAATAGGCCTATAGAATGCTAAATAATCCTCGGAAACAATTAATTACGATTGGTGTTCCACAAGGCTACGTTCTAGGCTTTTCTATAATTTTATGGATTTTTGGTAAAGTGGATCCTGGGAATGGTACAATTCGTATTCGTGGCAGTTTTTTATCAATATAATTAACGATTAGCGATAGTAGTACATCTACTGCTAATTTAAAATAGCCGGAGATATTTTTGTAGACGTCATCAATACATAGTATAAAACAAAGTCGCTTACGCTGTATGTCCGTATGTATGCTTAGATCTTTAAAACTACGAAACGGATTTTGATGCGGTTTTTTTTAATAGATAGAGTGATTCTTAAGGAAGGTTTGTATGTATAATAAATGCATATTGCAGCCGTGCGAAGCCGGGGCGGGTCGCTAGTATTCTATAAAAGGTATAATGATGGGATATGAAAATTAAAAATTTATTTAGTCCGACGATTAGGTAACCCTTACTACTTGACATCACAGGATATTTCAAATATTCAATTCAAATCTTCGAAAGTATTTGTTTCTTTAGGCAAATAGAAATTGTGTGTCTAATGCTTAAAATAATCAACCCGACGGACATTACAAATAAGAATTAGTCAATTAGAAAATAGGGGTTTTTCTTTTCAGGATGCTATTAATACTGAATCTGTTTCTTATTTACAGTTTGCTGTAGAACCTCATGATACCTTCGTAGCCCCATTCTTCCTCACCAAGTTGTGGTGGTTAATATACAGATATCTACTAATTGTAATCAGAGATCCACGAGTACAATTCGTGAGAATACTACAGAAATTGGTAAGTGAAAAAAGTATATGGTTAACTAGCTAAATTTTTAACACTCAAGGCTTTCAAAGTTGTAGAACAAGCAAGAAAAACACCATTGGTACATAGTTTTTAATTTGTGATTGCTTGGACAAACATAATGAAATAAAGTTTTATGTTGATACATAAAACCTAACTTAATTCATTAATATGGTAGGTACTAATTGGCGGTAGTAATTTGAATGTTAGACCGTCGTTAATTTTAGTTTACATACGAACTTATCAATCAACAGATTTTCTTACTTATTTGCTTACTATTTCCAGGCTATAGCCCTAACAGCAGGTCTCTGCTTCATGGGCACCGCCCGGCTGACCCAGTCTGGTATCCAAGATGTCCAGGGTGCCCTCTTCATCATCATAGCAGAAAATACCTTCAGCCCCATGTACTCAGTCCTCCACATGTTTCCTGAGGAGTTCCCGCTACTTAACAGGGAGCTGAAGGCTGGATTGTACTCAGCACCGGTTTATTATACTGCGAGGATGGTGGCTTTGGTAAGTTGGGAGTGGATTGTGATTGGTATATGGATATAATATAACAGTAACATGAAGAACAGGGAGCGTTTGGAATGACGAAATCTGTTATTGGGTAATAGTGGTACCGTTTTAATGTAATTTAAAATAAATCAAATCATTATACCCTCTTGCCCCTAAACCTTATTCACATGAAGCTCGAGAAAAAGGCACAAGACACACACACACATACACACACGCGCGCACGCACGCACGCATTCATTTTCTCGCTTAGTTGAGACAATGTACCTTTAGGCAACTAAATATTCCACTACTATTGCCCAATAAAAAAATAGATGTTTTATCATGACTCAATAAACTTTGATTAAGTATCTTCTTGAATTAATCTGCTAATTAAAATGAAATCACTAAAACCTGTATGGCCAAGGGTTTAATAGATTTTTATTCCACTTCGTTCCGGTTCAATCCAGTGTCGATGAAAATATTTGCGTATGAGTAACATTGAGTAATATAAAAAAACTTGTTTTATAGTATGTTCTTATTAGGATTGTTGTTGAACTCCATATGACCAATATAAACATGAATCCAAAAGGTTCATTTAGAGACAAATATTTTTTACGTGAATTCCACTCCAATTTATACACATATGCAAAATCCCAACACGCATAATCGGGTACATCCAGATTCGACGGGTTTCAATTATTTTTTTTATCGTGTTATAGAAGAGCTGAAGACCGAGCTCAGTGGCGTGCCATTGGAGAGGCCTATTTTCAGCAGAGAACGAATATGGGCTAATGATAAAAATAAAAAAATAAATAAAATTTATTTTCAAACATAATAGTCTATAGAAATGTACAGTTTTGCTTAAAGCTATATGAAGTTCACAATATAAGGTGCCTGAATTAGGACATCCTGTGTTACAGGCGATGATGATGATGATGATGTGTTATAGTCCTACAAGACAAGGGTTTGGTAGGACAAGAAAGAGGAAAGATACGTTTAAAACAATCGACTTCAACCCCCCTCTGTTATTGAAGCCGGTTAATTAATATACTAAAACCTTCTCCTAAGCGCCGGTTTCACCACCTCTATATAAGTACCTGATAAAATTATGTCTGGTCTTTTCTTCTTGAATTCTGTCTGGATGGTTCTTACAAATTACGTTCTTAATTAACTCTTTCAGTCTTGCTGGTCACTGTAACTAACCACCTTTTCTTAGAAATTCAATTTTTGAAGTATGCTTCAAATTACTTTGCATTGGTTTTTAAGCATTTCAGTATAATTGAATAAAATATATTCGTAACCAGTTAAAAGTGTGACTGAAATAGTTAAAACTTATCTGGTAGATAACGGCTATCCAGATATTTTGAAACAGAAAAGAAAGCCCTAAAGAAAGTGTTTGTTACATACAAACACTTTCTGATATCCGCATTGTAAGGACATAAGAACATCTTTGTAACTCAAGGTTGATTGAGAAACAATAAGGTACGTTGCGCTTAATCAGCGAATAGTTTTAAGTACTTTAGTGTTGTATGGTTATTGAATATAAGGAAATTTGGCAATAATAAATCAGACTTATTGGCAGCAACACGTCTTTGAATTTACCACCCCTATGGAGATATTGCAGCATCAAGATCAGTTCCGCCATTTGCGAGAAAATCGTGCACAAACACACATACATGCCAAACTGAGAACCTCCTGTTTTTGCAGTCGGTTAAAAATTCTTTACAATTTTTTGGAAAAGTTGAGAAATAGCGTCTGATCCTTGCCACAGCTAGGTTAAGTTCGTATGCAAGTTCCAAACTTACAATTGCAACAAAAGAAATGAAAACCAGACAAATGACATTAGACATGGCATCATAACTTACCTTTTTTGCTTTATTTATAAGAAATAGGGTAGTTTCCTAAATTTATTTTTATGTCCGTCTGGTACATACATTTAAAACTTTAGACACGTATTTTTTCTCTTCTCACAAAATTAAATACTTTTGATAATATATTAATTTGAAATATCATGTGACGTCACAACGTGTCACATTTTGTAGCACGTTATGACGTAACGACCTCCCACTTCTAAATTTAGCGCCATTTTCTCTAAGTATTGCTACTTAATACGAGAAAATAAAAAATACGTGTCTAATAATTTTTTCATTATCTAACTGACGGACTAATTAGATTTTTAATTTTGATACCATGGACACAACCCAATTATAAGATTTTGTAATGTGACATGTTGCCAATCATTTTTGAGAATACTAAAAGAAGATTACAAATTGTCAAACCGGTGCCGATGTCGGTGTCCAAACCTTGTAACCTTCTGATATAATTGCGTAGTGAGCACCCACGTGCTACCGGTGCCTAGCGTAGCAACTAAATCAGTACATTATAACAAGTTTAACAGATTCAACTTAAAAAATATTTGTTCTGCCTATGTCCATGCGTACATTGTTGTCTTTTTTTTAATTTTTCGTCTACAAATAAACCAGCACATATCAGCTGTTTTGGAATACCGGTAACATTTAAATGAAATAAGAACATAGTATGATTCTATTCTATCCTTCTCAAAAAAATAAATAAATGATAGCAAAATTTAAAGAAGAAAAATGGTATTTGAGTAGAAAAAGAAAATGTTTCTGTTCTTGTTATTTCAGGCATGACGTCACTGATGTATCATTTATTTTGTATTTCATTTGTATTGAACGGGAAAAGTATTATCTTCAGACTTCAAAAACAATACTAATTAATTTACTTTATTTCCAGTTGCCAGGCTTGCTGGTAGAACCGACCCTGTTCACGCTAGTGGTGTACTGGATCGCAGGACTGCGAGGGTCCCTGTACGCGTTCAGCTTCACCGTCTTCTTGGCGATACTAGTGCTGAATGTAGCCATCGCTTGCGGTAAGTCTAATTATCTATTTTTAAGGAAGATAAACGATTTTTATAAACAAATTTAACAGTCACAACCTATAAGCTTATTGTCAAACTATTTGGTCATAATCAAGTATGACAACTAGTCAAATTCAATACTTTTTTCGAACTGTCAAAAATGACAGTTTTCTATGAATTTTATACGAGATTGTGTATTGTGACGTCACGTTTTTTTAGCGTCAAACAGCGTACTTATTTCTAAAAAAAATGCTGGAAAAACACTTACTAAAATTAAGTTAGTCATAAAATCAATTAATTAATGAAACTGTGATTATTTTTTAATATGAAAGTTAAAAACCCAATTACAAACGCCTTGTTGTTAAGTAAGAAGGTTTTATTTTAATGAAAAGATCCGCTTAACAAACCGTGTATATGTACAACCTGATGTAAACTAAGTATAACTTGAATTTGAAAGTCTAAAATTAAACTTATTAATATAGCACATTTACTTAAGCAGGTAATTCGTCTACCTAGTTATCTAAAACACCTGGGGTCTAGACAAATATCTCTTGACATTCATTAGTTTTTTTAATACCGCAAATAAAATGATTAAGCTATAATTTAATACTTTAATAGATAAAATGACATTTAGATTGGCTACCGAAATACAACGTAATTTAATGAAAATATCAGTTACCTAAATATAAATAGAAAATAAACATTTTTGGAGTTCCGGCTGCAGCTGTAGTCCTGATTTAGATTATCAACAATATTCATTGCCATCAGTATAATAATTAAGAAGAATAAAGCAGATCAAATAAGAATATACACACTCGCGACATAGGAATACAAATCTCGAATGGCTCATCTCATTTGGATGACTTGACTGACCACTTGACTTAGGTCTGCGGCAGACTAAAAACCATGTTTTTTTAATAGCATAAGCCGATAAACAAGCAGACTGATCACCTGATGGTAAGCAATCGGAGCCGCCCATGGACACTCGAAACACCAAGGCGTTACAAGTGCGTTGCCGGCCTTTTGGGAATTGTGAATTTGAGGATGTGGAGGATTCGAGGATTCGGGAGACGGGGGCCTCCGGTAACCTCACTCACACGACGAAACACAACCCAAGCGTTGTTTCACGTCTGTTTTCTGTGTGGATAATGGAGCCTATAGTATTTTTGCTAACCAAGTGGCGCTAGTATGCACTTCTTGTTCTTCGTCCAATAGGGAAATAGCTAGTGTCACTTTTAATACTTCTGTGGTCACAACATTGGATATTCAATATTTGACAGCTGTTGTGATTGGACAAAAACGTCTTTGTACATTTACGCCATCTGGTGGGCAAAAAAACGTTAGCCCTCATTAGGGTAGCCACTTATTCTCTGTGTTTTATTCCAGGATCATTCTTCTCATGTGCGTTCGGTTCGATGCCAGTAGCGATAGCGTACCTGGTACCCTTCGACTACGCTCTCATGATGACCTCTGGGCTCTTCATTAAATTAAGGTAAATATCATTAATTAGTTAGTTTCTCTTTCCTTGGATGTCTTAAGAGTAGAGGAACAACATATGGAACAGAGACCAGGCAGCAGCGTCATTTGATAATCCGGTTCTCCTTAAACTGTGGTCTGCAACACTCCTGCTGAACGCGAAGATTATGGAAAACCACACTTTTATACCTAGAGGAGACCCATAATGCAGCAGTACACTCTAATAGGTTACGGAACCGCAAAAAACTTAACGGATTGCTGGGGCTCCGGCTCGAAAAGCAGAAGTAAGAACGGGGTGGTTTTTAGGCAGTAAGAGTCTGACACTCCCTCTCGCCTCACCCAGGCGGGAGATATAATTGGATGATTATCCCTACCTCAAAAAAAACTAATAGGTTGTTGTTGATGAATCGTCCTCCAGCTAAATAGAGTAACGATATCTACAAAGAGGAGCTGGTACTTAGTAATTAAATGCGCGAAGCTGAAACCACTGATGATTGAGCTCAGTAGTATGCTATTGGACACCTATGTCCAAAAACAGACTATTGATGATGTACACAAAACGTTCGTTCATGCTCATCCGATCTGGACGTTTTGACTGATCGTCGCAGTGGCAAAGCGTCCGTCAAATAACTTGGACCAATCATTTTTCCAAGATCATACTGTTATCATACATCCGTCTATTTAGACTGACAGAAAAAAAAGACAAATCGGATAAGTGAGAACGGCCTCTTAATGAACAATGTTATTCTGAGAATCGCAAATGTTACTTGTTACTTAGTGACAGTGACAAGAAATCAGAATTGCAAAGATCATCTATTAATATTTTTGTATACTATTTATTTATTTATACAGCAAACAAGCTTAAGACCTGTACCTGTAAATCATTTGCCGTTTATGAACAGATGTTCATCTGTAGCATTAGAGTCATCAAGGTCATAAATCAACGACAACTAGAGTTGCCGCTCGCTTCTTTTTTTAAGGGGGAAAATCATCGAATTACTTCTCCCGCCTCGGTGAGGCGAGTGAGAGAGAGTGTCAGACTCTTACTGATTAAAAACCACCCCATTCCTACTCCTGCACTTCGAGTCGGTGCCCCGGTAACCCGTTAGGTTCTCCGCGGCTCCGAATCGGCATCGGCTCTATTGGGTCCCATCCGTGGTGGTCTGATGGCTCTTTGATACGCGTGCGGAACGCGACGCGGCGTACGCTCGGGACCGCTCGCAGGCATAAAGCAGCCTTTGAATTCTGTTTTGTCAACTGTCATATTGTCACTTATCCTAATATTGACATCATTCTTATTGGTTTCTTGGCTTATTTAAAAATATAGAATAAATTTTATACCAATTTTTAAAAAGGAGATTTCTCAAGTTGACTGTATGTTATTGTTTTTAATTAATTATTGTTTTAGAGAAAAATAATCTATTATTTTTTATTATCTTTGTTTGTTCTGTAGATCGACTACGCATACAATGCTTTTAACTACTGAAACAAAAACTACAGCAACTCTCCAACAACCTGAAAATGATAAGATTAATAAATACAAATCATTCGTATAATGACAAAATAGGCAATATATAAGAAATATATAATGACAATATACAAAAATATATGTACATATATAGGAAAGTAGTACCTAATCCAAATATAATTTACATACAATATTTAAAGAACACCTCTAATGCGTGGGTCTTAGACGTTAATAGTATAAAAAAAAATATTTATTAACATGTATAATTCTTGTTTTTTTATATCAACACAATCATTACTATTTTTTTATTTATTTTGTAGCTTTTTTTCTGCAATTTCGATTGTGCCAATGCCAGTAATGATTTTATTATACAAAAATTTCAACCATTATTCTAGCACTTGAAGAAAAAATGAATAGTTCCGGGTCTATGAACTCAACCGTTTAAATTTAAAATTATTTATAATAGGTACAATCGAATATAATATATATTACGGACAATTTTGTACGCACATAAAAATTTATAAGACATTTTCTTTAAATAATGTTTACCAGGTGGCTTTAGGGGGCTTACTCTTGAAACCAATTCCGATCGATCGACATTGGTATTGTGAAATTTTGTACTCTTGAGTTTCAACCCTAGCGCCCACTCCATCCGTATTGCGTGGATATTAAATGAACTAAATGGTATTGCGTTTGGCTTTATATTCCGTACTCTGAATGCTGTTTTAACAGCTACGATTGTGGTTGTATAGTATTGACATTGAATAATTAGTTAGACTTTATTGGATTGAAATTGCATTGACATTGAGATTGGTTTCAAGAGTAAGCACCTTGGTAAAGCAAGACAAAAACAAGACAATTGAATTGGAAACCATATCCCATCACATCAATAGCATATAAGTGGCCACTGCTGACCAAAGGCCTCTTCTTAAACGGAGAAGGTTTGAGCATTAATCACCACGCTGGCTCAGTGCGAGTTGGCAATTACAAACTTATAATTAGAAATTGTAAGTCCAGGTTTCTTCACGATGTTTTTCCTTCACCGTTCGTCAGTGGTCTTTAAATAATCTTAGAAAGTATCTACATATAACTCTGAAAAAGTCACATTGGTACTTGCCATTGGTAGGTGTCGACCCCGCAACTTTATGCATGAGAAGCGGACGTGTTAAACCTCTGGGCTACCACGGCCATATAAGATTTATCTTTTTTTTTTCAGTTCAATGCCAAAATACGTATCCTGGATTCGCCACCTCTCCTGGCTGATGTACTCGAACGAAGCCATGAGCATATTGCAGTGGGATGGAGTACAAAATATAAGTAAGTTTAATTGACAGCACTTCGAGCTACCCTAACAAACTTCAATAGATTTTAAACTTTATCGAAATTGCGTAAAGTTTAAAGTCTGTTGTTGTAACAGTGAAGTGAGTCTAACAAAAGTAGGTAGTATGACGATTTTGTTCTCTATAAACCAAAAGATTAATTAATACTGATAAAAAACCACTTCATCCTTGAAAACAAGCTTTTGAAAAATATCATAAAATATTATTTATTATAATTGTTTCTCAAAATTTTCCATTCCATTTTGAGAATAACGTTGTGTGGATAATTGGAATCTAAGCACTGTGTCGCCATCTATGAAAGAAACTTAGAAACTACATTTTTTTTTCAGGTCCCATTTTTTTAAATGTTTCTAATGACGTTACACGTAAAAATTCAGGTGGGATAATATTAGCGTTATATTAATAGTCAGCCAAGGTATTTTGGCAATATATCAATAACTATTTCGATATGTGGCATTCTCAATTAGACATTAGTTACAATTTTAGAAGACTAAAACTAAAAATAGATTCTACATTGATGTACTAAGTGCAATTAATTAGTTTTTAAAGCAGATGGATATTTTTGAAATGAAACAGGAAATTCATTGAGATTAGACTAACATTTCAAAAATTTGATAAAAGTGGTCTTTATTCCTATAGCATTAAGGCTGATATTCCGTAATTTGAACTCGAAAGTTCAAATCCACGATCTAATAAAACTATTAAAAATCAATGATTCTCCAGTTTTTTAACACTTCCTGCTAAGTACCGACCACCTGTTCTATGTTTTTTTCTTAAAACTACTTTTCAAGCCAGGTAGGCCAGTATGGCGCCTGGCCTGGGATACTCCGCAATAAAAAGGGTCTACCAGGTAAATGAAGAAAAAAAAAGAACAATAAGTGTATTTAGAAACAGTAATATCACTGTTCCGTTTATAAATATCTTATTTTATTACTTAAAAACCTGTTGTTCAACAAGATTTGGACGGCGCCTGGTTGTTGAAGCAAGCATTTTGACAGATTAAGGTCGTTCACCTCTTACGTTGACATTTAGATTTTTTTTTATTGCACTATGTAATCGAAATCTTGTCACAGATAATAATATTTAGGTAAAATAAAACAAAATGACGTTCGTACCTAAAAACATACATTACAGAGAAACATTGGACCTTATAAAGATATAATAAAATACCTACTTATGTCCATTTTGAACTTACCGCCAAATGCGACGTAAAATACTAAGCATTCCGGTTTAAATTGGCTAAATGATGAATTGATTGACTTTTAGCACTTTTTAAATTTTACTTCTTTTGTTACAGCTTGTATTTCCAGTGAAGCTGGGATGCCGTGCCTGAGCACCGGTGAAGAGGTCCTGACAACTTACGACTTCCAAAGCAGTAATCTATGGATGGATGTCCTGGCTCTCTTCATTCTGTACCTCGCATTCCACAGCCTAGCCGTTCTAGCCCTAAGACATAGAACTAGAAGAAAATAAATTGCATTATTTGACTAATTACTTTTGGTATGGTGTCTATTATGATAGAAATGTATTCAGCCAGATGTAAATAATTAAAATAAAGATTTTATTGTATTGATTGTGCGGATTTTTGGTTGATTTTTTGTGATAAATGGACCTACACGACTACTTTTATTACACTCTTTTAGTGTTGTATTTTTACTTTCATTCCTTCTTTTTACCTACTATCTAGTTATCTACTATCATAGTTTTTGATTTCTTCAGTCTTCCTATTTTTCTTATTACAAGATGGTCCTTTGGGTTTCGTATAATTTTATTTCTACTGCGTGGTAAATAGAGATACATAGGTACAATTTATACTTGGGTACCTACAGCTAATTTTGCGAGAGTTTGAACACTAAGTTCATAAATAGATATTATTTCATTGTAGACGATAATAATAATAAAAATCTACAAGTTACAATTGTATTTAATTTCTCCCCCTTCTAAAAATCTGTAACTTCTAAAAAGAATATGAAGCAAATAAAGATTACTGCCCTCTATTAAATACAGAACGAACTACCTATTCAAAATAACACGTGAGTCTTTCTGATAAGTTCACAATAAAAACCATAGATGGCAGCACGTACGCCCATGTTTTTGTACCTGCCGGCACGGCGAACAACGGGCGTTCGCTCCTCGTCGCGCAAGCGTAGTTCAAATTCATCCGCCATATTCGTCGTGTCAGACGGAGTGCAGTGCACGGCTGTGACATGTTTATTCGTAAACTGCATAAAACTTATGACATCGAGTCCTCACTGGTGCTTGTATTATTTAGATAACTCTTCAAATATGCGATTTGATGGAGTCTTGAATGGATACTCGCGTCGTTTGTTGAATTATAAACGTGCATCGAACAGTGCATTCGTGTGTTTATGATAACAGATTAACAGTAATCCTCGGTCGTGTATTGTTTTTTGTAAATCTCTTAAATTCCTGGTGTAAAGGCTTAGTGATATTATGCAATATAACATAACCGTGACCTTCGTGTTTCGTGACTGTGCTATTGGTGTCTTTTGAGGTTAAAATGCAGCTTGGATTATGAGCGACTGCGCCGAGCCATCAGGTTAGTAAGACGTCCAGTTACTTTATCGGTACTGTACTGATAATACAGTATTTATTTATCGTTTGTCCTATATTCTTGCTATGATTACTTCGTACATCAACGTTTATATTTGAGAAAATACCGTTTGTTATTGTACCAAAACAAATACAACTTTTCGACTATTCGGGCTAACTTTGTTCAGGTCTTACTTGAATTCTAACCTAAGATAATTTCGAAAAGGTATTAAGGCGGGAAGTTAAACAGGTTTTAGTGCAAATGTAAATATACGGTTGTTCAAAATGCAACCAATATAACTTGGCTGCGGTCATAACTTAAGTTGGAAATTGAGAATACAAAGACGTAGGCCGTTTCATTGGCATTAAGTAAGTTAAAGTCTCAAACGTAACACAGTCCCGCGCAAGCTTGCACCTTAGTGGCCCAAGCAAGGCGCGCGGCCCCGCCACGCCGCCGAGAGAATGCAACCTCTCCACAGGAATTACAAAGGGACTAAAGTGAAACAAGGACGAAGCATTGATTATCCCAATGTTTTTTTAATGATCTGGTGTTAGATGTAGAGATTGTCGATGGAACCGCGCTATTAAACCAAAGAGTTGAATTGATAAGCAACCTATTTGGTAGTCATGAAGAGCTCGTTGAGATGCAACGGGTGAGAAGGTTTTGATATTATCATTTTCAATCAGGTTACAGAGAGAATAGTAAATGTATGTGGTTGGTATCTAATTTGAATGGGTGTTATTGAACCCATTGTAATGTAGGTGCTTGTGAAGATCTTTATCTTTTTGCATTAACGAAAACGTAACAATGGAAGTACCTAACTGTTAAAAACAATAAACCATGGGCATGATCTACTTAGCTCGGTGTTATAGAACAGTTGTTATAGATTCTATTTTTTACGTCGACATCCTGTCGGCTGTATGTCTATTCTCATGTTAATTTACCCCTAGCGCGTCACATGTTTATGTTTTTTATAAACAACATTTGTCTATGATCAGCTTGACAGACGACACTGCCTATTCAATTGTAAACATTTAGGTATAGGTATGTACCTAGTCAAACTTACACCGCAGTTAGTCTACCTCGTAGGTACTCATTGAAATAAATTGGCGAAGTATTAAATAATCCACTTTACTTATAACCCCTGCACGTACGGAACAGGTTTAACCGTTATTGATTAAAAAGCAAGCGAACTGTTTTCTTTCCTAAGTAGGTACTTCGTACTTATCAGGATTTTACACAGAACTAAAACCTGTGGACTCCACTCATGTTATCGAATAGGTAGATAAAAACACTCTAGATTGCTGGTGGGTGTTCGATGTCTAGTACCTTCCTACATTATGACGTCATTGTAATAAAAGACTCGTACTGACCGCAATTAAATAACTAACCATTTGTAGCATGGTTTTAAATGTAAAATAACTAGATATCTACAACTAATCACCTTTGTAATACAGATATTGGAATCCTCTCAAGAAAAAGACAAAAAGAAAATGACAAATGACTTGTTACCTACGAAACTGTTTGCGATTTCTAAAAGACAACAATAAAAATCAGCATAAACCTAGGCAACACTACTTCAATCCATTCAGTGTCCTATTATATTGCATAATATTATTATTTTAAAAAGGTTCCACAGGTTTTTTTTATTTGACCATGTCTTTACACAGCTTTCAAAAAAAGAACACTGTTGCATGCAGTAGCCATTGTTAATAGTGAAAATGAAAGCCATTGTGTTTACTGGTTCATTACATTATAAATTGTAATGGAATCTTGTTTCTGTATTTTGATATAGTAAGTACCAAGTTATTGGTCAATGCATCTGCTGGGCTCATTTCCATCGGTCCCAAATATGCTCGAGTTTATACCTAGGTACGGAAATGTCAATAGTCTCGTCTCGATGTTTTTATCACACAAAATCGTAGTTAGTTCATAACTTTTAATAACGAAGGGCATTCAATGCATCTCAACCAACCTCTTTGCAATAAACATAATATTATCCGCTTTCCATTTATTTATACCCTTAACCAAAAATAAACTCAAAAAGAAAACAAACCGTAGATATCTCTAATCAATTCTTAAACGTTGCAGGCTTGACAAAACCAATAACACGGAGATCTAGATAACGTTCGAACTAATTGTCTGAAGTCACGGCACAGTTCCTAGCTAACCGACAAAGGTCGCTCGGTACTACAGCTTCTCGATAAAGATTGCGTGTCGTATCGTCGTCGAGGCAAACTGCGTTTACCTAACAAGCGTGTGTAAGAAGATAAACATAACATTATAGAAACCGTAATTGGAAAAGAAAAGGTGCTGGTAATATTTATTTAAATCCTTTTTAGAATCATGTAGTTAGTAGTAGTTCGTAAAGTTAGCCGATCATTCGCTATCAACATTTAACATGTTCACATCACCAAACAGATGTACACTGTATACTTTATCGGTATCATTATCTTCATTCCCTATCACGTTTTATTTGGAAACGGTCATCGTTGGTATCAACCTGGTAGAGCTTTTTAGCTTTAGTAATAGTTACACATCACGATACATAAAAAGTTGAATAGTGAGCTAGATGACTGCGATAATATAAAATAAGTGCTATAATGAGTTTTATTATTAAAATATTGCAGGTTACAGGATAAGTTTTATCAAATCATGTGGTTCAACTTAGCTTAATGCAGTTTACAGCAATAATATAGCAATCTCCACACATTTATTTTTTTAAATAAACAAAACTTGTTGTCTCTAATTACACGAAGAAATTTTGAAACAGATCAAGATAAAGAGAGCTGTCCTTAAGACTTTAATACGGTTATGTTGTACCGAAACAAATTGCCCTCTTATTGCAAAGTGATTATTGAAGATTGGCAGGAAGAAGTCCTTTAAATCAGCCGCAGATACGCTCGTTGCCTTATAGTTAGTTACCGATTAATGAGACCGCTTACTTAGTCGTCCTAAGAAGCTTACTTGTCTGTCGCTAGTTGCGACAGCTACGGATGCGATTCATTAAATCGGTGCCTAGATTTCCGTTTTAACCTGTTTCACTTGGATAAGTATTTTATCTGCCTGCGTCGCAATATTTTTGCATCAGTAAAATATTAAAAAGTTGAAGTGCAAAGGCGGTCATGGAGCGTTACCAGTTACTCAAAGTTGAAATACCTACAAGAGTAGAGAGATTGTGACTGAATTAGTCACTTATATTTGTAATCTGCGAGGCAAAATTATCAATTTGTTATTAACTACATGTATAAGTCTCTGCTGCTGCTCTTATTTATAATGTTTAAATAGTTCCTTTCAAGTCACATTATTATCGTATTTTCGTTTAGCATTTCTTTACCAGTCAGCACATTTTTAAAGTTCATTTTGCCTGTGCCACTATTAGTCTTGTTTCACCAACAGACAGATTTGTTTAGAGGTATTATCATCATGCGACTTCTGCTCGAGTGGTTACGAAATAAAAAGAAGCAGGCTGTCTTACTGCATTAGTCGACGATGATAAATAGTCTAATGGTCTTCTTAAATCGGTTTCAATGTAACTTGAGACCGATGAACTCGGTAATTAGCGGGTTACGTTCCAAGATCGTGAAAGGAAAGTCTCGCGTGATACTATTTTTTATAATCCAACTTTGGCATTATAATGAGAATAATTTCGCCAATCTGGCTGTTTCTTGTTCGAAACCAATTACTATGGCATCGGTCACATTAACAGACAAGTGAAAGTCCATAATTACAGATGATAGCGATCAGGGGATCCATACGGTTCACCGAAGAATTTAAATTTTTAAGACCCATTTTGTAAAATTGTCAACGATAACTGTCCATCAAACTGTAATCTTGTTTTCGTTGCAATGAAAAACCACGAGAACAACCGGAGTGTCGAAGTATTTACTACCAGATTTGGCATGACGCGATGATATGTGGAACTGGTTTGATGCTCGTTAAGACGCGCCGTGGAGTCTCACGTATCTGAACAAAAACCAAGTCGGGAACAGGGCCAACTTGTTTTGGACAATACCCGG